TTTGAGACACAGCCATGCTGTGCAACCTATGCTGGCCTTGAATTCTCCCTGCTTCAGTGCTGGAACCAGAAAATTCTTAAGTAAATATATTATAATAAATAAATAAAACAAACATATAGGCCCCACAGTGGTACCAGGTGGAAGCAACACGCAGCCACATTTGATCTACCAAAAATGGTACATTCCTGAGATCTACCTGTTTATTTTCTAAGGCGAGGTCACTGCCATTTGTTGGAATCTGGCCTGATCCCTTTGATCCTGGGTGGTTTCTGCTCCCAGATCAGGTCTCCATTCAGAGGATGCCACTTCCTCTGTGAAGGCATTCATATTGACAGAAAACACATGTCCTCTGTGGGGTGCTGGCATCTCACATAACAAAGTATGGATGCCTAAATGTGCCATTTTTCTGGGCATATAGTGGTGGCATATAATGCCAGCACCTCTAAATGCAAATTTGGGTAAGAATTACCCATTTTATCCATTACTAGAGTATCATCTGGCCTCCAAAGAAGCTCAGCAAATATATATAGTGGTTCACCCATACCTTCTGGTTCTACCTGCAGATCTCCCAATTTTAGATCAAAGTTAGTTGGAAAAAGAAAAACCGCAAACCATCTGTACTGCATGCATATATACATACTTTCCTTGTTATATTCCCCCAGCAGCACAACACAATTAAACACATGCATGCAGTAGGTATTGCAGTCATGTACAGGTATTTAAATTTCACAGGAAGATAGGCATGGTTTATATGAAAATGCTACATAATTTGAGCACCTGATATCAAAGACAACTGTACACTGAATGAGTCACTGAACTCCACCTAAACACCTGGCAACACATTCAGACACCCTTCTCATCTCATCAAAACCACTCATCACTATACCCTTGCTTGTTATGTTTTCAAAACATCTCTGGACCATCCATGGTTTTGTTTTTGTTTTTCCATCTCTACAAAACCACCAACCTAATATTCTTTCCTCCTTCATAAAAAACATTTTTTCTCATCCAAAAGTAAATAGTGTTTCCTTCTTGTTCATTTTTAAATAAAAGAAAATTGTGTCAGGGCAGATGTGCAGCTCAGGATAACTTGTGGGAGTCATTTTTTTTTTTTCATTCTACTATCTAGATTCCTGGGATCAAACTTAGGTGGTCAGATTTGGAAGCAAGCACCTTTACTCACTGAGCCATCTCACTGGCCCAACATAATCATTCTTCATCTTGTAGATTTTAAAGACTTTGTGTTTTTAAAGGCTGGAATATGTTGGGAAGGGTTAAGGAATACAGTCCTACAGGAAAAGTGTTAGGGGAAATGACATTGGTGCTGGAGAGCAGGAGGTATTTGGAGGGCAACTTAAGGCCACTGGATCTATGGAAAGTATGATTCTCAAATACTCCCCAGATACTCAGCTTCCTCCTTTGACTCTCAACCCTGTCCTACAGACCACGGCCCATATGTGAAGTGTGATTCCCCTCTGTATGCTGTAAATACCTTTTATTACCATTGGTTAATAAAGAAGGTACTTTGGGCCTGTGACAGGGTAGAATAGAGCTTGGTGGGGAAAACTAAACTGAATGCTGGGAGAAAGAAGGCAGAGTCAGAGAGATGCCATGTAGCTGCCCAAGGAGAAAAATGTCAGCAGGAATAATAGGAATGGGTTAATTTAAGATGTAAGAGCTAGCTAGAAATATGCTTAAGCTATTGGCCAAACAGTATTGCAATTAGTATTATTTCGGGTTTGAGCAGCCTTTGTCTACACACATGAATGAGACTTTCCTAAATTAGTACTGACTCTGTTCACAGCCTTTCAGAACTTCTCAGTATCACAGGAATGAAGTCTCAGTCCCTGAACTCAGCCCTGCCAAGTCCTGATTTTGACACCATCCCTGTTAGGGACTTAAAACAATGGCCTGTCCCTGGATTGTGGTACTCGAGAGGGCCCGCTCTGAGCAACTGGGCAGGTTCATGAGCTCAGAAATGATAAGTTCAAATCAGTGTCCCCAAACTAGCCAATGACCTCTGCCAATGAGCTCTACCCAGGAACAAATTTTTCTGTCCACTAGGTCATCAGGCTCAAATCAAGGCAATAGTCTGTCTCCACAGCCATGCAACCCCTGCCCAATGGCTCTTCCTGGCATTTGTAGAATGCCTGGGACAGTAACTACAGATAGTAAACACCATATGTTAAAAAACTGTACTTGCCCAAGTGTATAAATAAACTTTTCAAGGACCTTTTAACTGGGCATCTCTTCTAGAAACCCTTCTAGAACCTCTCCTAATATTCCAAATACAAGATGGCTCAGTGGGTAAGGGTGCTTGCTGTCAAGCCAAGCCGAAGGGATCCTTGGTACCCACATGGAGTTAGGAGAGAACTGACTCCCCCGAGTTGTTCTATGACCTCTGCACCTAGACTGTGGCATGCTTCCTCCCTTTTCCACAAAATAAATACATGTAAAAAAAAAGATTTTAAGTAGAGCAGACCACTTTTTGTTTCCTTTTATCCATCTCTCATTTCCACCCTCAATTTGATGTTTGTTACTCTATATGGCTATTTGAAATTTCTCTCTTCCTTTCTGTGTTGTGTTTTTTCTTTCCTCCCTTTCATTCTCTTTGCCTTTGTCTCCTTCATTAGGTTCTGAGTAGTTCAAGAGGTGAGATAGTCAAATCTGGTCTGAAAACACCCAGTAAAGAACACAGACACACAAGAAGACCTTAGTAAATGGCTGCTAAAAGCTGAATTTGGTCCTGCTAGCAAAGGCAGAGACTGGGTTAGCCCTGTCCTATATGAAAGTGCTCCCTCTCTAGACAGTTGTGTGAGGACATGAGCTTGATGCTGCTCTGGACATGACCTTTGAATCTCGGCTTCTAGAATAAGGAACAAGCTAGAGCATACCTCCACAAAAAATGTTGAAATACCTTGGGTAAGAACAGCTGTGGAGTGTTACCCTGTGTGGGATGTCCACCCAAACAATTAACAGATATTAATTCATTTATTTGAAACCTATGTCACAGATACTTCTGTGTTCCTTATTTTCTAAACAAGCAAGCAGAGGCCCAGGAGGGTGGACTTATTTCCTCCATGACTATAGTCATAGGTAGACACCAGTCTCGCGTTTATGCCCCTACTTTGGTAACAACTGTCACTTAACTGGCTGCCCTGGGTGCCAAGCATGGGGCAAATGACTTCTTATTCATACTCATATATCCTCACAATGGTCCTGGGAAGCAGGTATACATGTGACAGCCCCATTCCAGGGATGTGAAAACTGAGGTTTGGAGGTGTGAAATCTATCACTTAATGGTACCTCACTTTAATAAGCAGTACAGTTGGAGTCTATGCCCTAAGGCATAATCTGTATTCTTAAGGTCTTACACACACACACACACATACACACACACACACACACACACACACACACACTAGAGCTGGCATCTGGCAGCCAGCCCAAAGGAACTGCCTATGTTCTTAAGCACTCTGCTATTATCCATGGCCTCAAACTATCAGTCTCAATCTTTCTCTCTATCTCCCCTCCCCAACTCACACACCCAAGACAGGCGGGATAAAGCAGAGGCAGCTCTGAGTATGAGGCAGTAAAGAGAACAGGAACAAAAAGGAACTCTCAAGGCCTATCTCAGCAGCTGACCATTTGCTATCCAGAAGCATGGTTTTCTCTTGTCCGACACATGATGAAGACTGGAGACATACCAATGAGAACATCCCCAGCCCTGAGAGGCCTTCTTGGACTGTCAACCAATCATCTGGTAGCACTACACATTTGCCAGGACCTACCTGCATGCTTATTCTGCTAACATCAATCCTCCTGGCCAGTAAAAAAGTTACAGATGGGCAGATTTTAGTCTGAAATGACCCCAGCTCCCAGCACAGGATCTGGCTCTACATTGAATACAGATATCTGCCTGTCTTGTGGCTTTCCTTGCAGTTCAGACTCCCAGGTTGCTCTTCATAGGCGTGCAAAACCTGGTTAGTACAAACCCTGGCCCTCTTACTTCTCTGGCTGGTTCTGGTATTTGGGGAAGCAATTCTCCCATTTCATTTTAGCTTGTTTCATTGTGTTTTCATTCTCTTTTATGGCCTCTACTAAACCCTGTATATCAAGCATGGGTTATTTTGCAGTGAGTATGTTTGTCACCTGGCTCAGTTTCTCTCCTTGTCTCAGAAAGTGTCCTTCCTAGATCTGTTCTGCTTGGCCTCTCTGTACTTGGCAGAGCTAGTGGCTTCTTTCCCTGATACTGAATCTGTGGGTAGGAAGCTGTCTGGCTCCCCCCTGGCTCCCCTCCCCCTGCAGGGTCACAGCTCAGGATCACGCACCACGCTGTGGACTGGTTGGGCATGCGCACATCCTTGCACACCAGCAGCACGTAGCTGTACTTGAGCACGTGGATGAGCCTGTAGAGAGGGGGCGCGCTGGCCCAGGGGCTGCGTGCCACGTGTGTGGAGCTCTTCACCGAGAAGACCACCAGCCGTTGCTGGCACCACTTGTCGAAGAAGCGGCTGAATTCAGCCCATGAGAAGAAGGTTCGATCCAACAATTCCTGTTCCTCCTTCTGCACTGCTGTGCCTGGTGGGGGTTCTGTCAGCTCCATCCTGGGGCCCTGAATGGAAGTGGGAAGAACTGGACATCAGACCCATCCCCACCTGGGTTACCTCATTTTCCCCTTTTCAGACTGTCTAACCAGCTGCTGATGCCTCGTATATATATCTCTGGGCCGATCAAAGTGGTTTTATTGTTTGGTTTCCAGAAAGTAATCTCCATCCCATTTTTGTGGTCTACCTTCCCTAGGTCCAGCTGGCACTTAATTTCCATTCTGTCCCAGTTGCCTTAAATGTGACCTCTAGGTACAAGGGAATCAATCAGTTCTAAATATGTGCTCGCAGCTCAGCTGTGGACATCTTTGCAGACGTATTCCTAGTCTCTGGCTAAGATTTCTCCTTCTCCCAGATGTGTCTCCTGCCCCTGGTGATAACTTTTAGTGGTCCCATTCACCTGGAACTTCTTTTTCACAGGAGTCTACATTTGACTGTAACTCATATCTACCTTCATAGCTAGATTGCAAACCCCAGCTATATTCTTTATACACCCTGGCTTCCTCTTCCCCTATATTTATCAGATATGCAGCTGTTGCCCCTAAGATATGACCGCCTTAAATTGCTACATTGATCTGTGGCTTCTGCTTCCCAGGGATGCTCTTATTTTCAGATGCCCTTCCAAAGTCCTGTCATGGGCCATTAGCCTACAGGGATATGGCCCACTTGTGGCCAACTGAACTCAAAAGTGTCACCAACAGTCAACTGTGGTTCATACTCCTCCTAAGACTTACTCTCCTCCTGGGTTAAGTTGCAGCCCCCTCTTCCCAGCAATAACTACTATTCTCAATGTCTTTGTTCTGGACTTGGCCCCTTGGCCTCAGACGGGTTTCTTCACCCCTGATGCTCCCCCCATGTCCAGCTGAGCCTTCCCTCCCTCGCGCAGCCCCTTCTTGTTGATTCCCAGCTCCCCAGATCCTCCCAGCCCGCCTCACCACCGCCCCTCCCGGCCTGACCATCCTACACAGCGGTGCTTCTCCACTCCCCAAGCTGTGCACCCTTCCCGCCCCCTCCCCCTCAACTCACCTACCCAACCCGGAGCAGCGTCCACCTCCCACAATGCCCCGCGCCCAAGCCCGGCCCGGCCCTTGCTCCCGGGATGCCCCGCGCGGTCTGCCGCCTTTCTTCCCGCAGTGTCTGGCAAGGCAGCTTTTCACCAACCCTTTTCCTATCCCCGCCTGTCACCCTTACGACCTCGCAGCCTCACCGGCTCGTCCACGGGGAGGACAGGCTCCGGGCCGCTTCCCAGCATGCTGTGCGGGACAGCGCCCCTCCCCTCCCCACTCCGTCCCATTTCTAGGCTGTCTCATGCTCCGGAGACTACAACTCCCAGCAGTCTTCCAGCGATAATGGCGCCGCGTGAGGCGCCCGCGACCCGCCCTCGGCTGTCTCCACCCTCAACCCCGCCCGCCAGAGTCTGCGCGCGAAATCCGTGTGGCGCGAATTTCGGGCTTTCCGGTTCGCGTCGTCGAGCAAGCAAGTCCGGCGTCTGGTGAGGTGACTTGAGAGGCAAGTGGGGTCGTGGGAGCGTGGCTGGGGCTGGGGCGGGGGAGCGGCGAGCGTCCCGAGCGCTCGTCGCCGGTGAACCTCGCCGGCTCTGGGGCGGGGGCGCGAAACGAGCGTGAGGGCGTCGCGGCGGCCGAGGGCGCGGGGAGAGAGCAACAAGGAGCCGGGGTGGAGGGAGAGCTGCCGGCTGGCTGGCTCGCGGACAGGGCCCGCAGCAGGCTGGAAGTGTCGCGTCTGCAGAGGACTGGAGGCCTTGAAAGGGGCGGGACCCGCGGCGGAGGGGCGGGGAGAAAGGCCGGTGGTGGGCGTGGCCACGGGCGTTGAAAGCGTCGGGTGAGGCGCGGCGGCCTGGGGCTGCAGGGAAGGTTTCCGTGTTGCGGCGTTAACTCTGGATGCCAGCTGTCAATCACTGTAAGATGCTAGACCGAATGGGGCCGCACGGAGTCTTGTAGTGAGAGCAAGGTGACGTTACTGGTTAGATAGCGCTCCTATGTGAAGACGAGGGAAGCTTGGTGTGATGAATGTCAAGAGCCAGGTAAAAGGTGAGGTGGGCTGCCACAGAGGGACACAGGCCTGGGCCTGGGTGGGGCAAGACTGGAGGTCTGGAGGTGAGGCCTGGACACACTTAGGGCTGGGGCAGTGCTTGTTGCTTACTGTGTGTGGAGTTGGGGAGGGAGAAAAACTTGGCTAGCAAGAATAGAAGGAAGTTATCAAGGTGAGGAGGGACGTTTGGAGAGGGAAGCTGGCTGGCAGCCAAAGAGGGCTGGCAATGTAGAATAGTGAGGGTGCTTTCTAGCAGCTCCAAACCCTGCCTGCATCTATCCTCAGGACCATAATGGGGGCGGAGACGGGCGGAGGAGAAAGAATAAAGAAACTTAACTGTCAAAGAATAAAAACTTGAGAAAACGTCTGCATACTCTCAGTGATTTTTTTTTTTTTTGTTGTTGTTGTTAGATGGAAAGCAGGCACCATATGGAAAAGAAGACGTCCCTTTTCGGATTTGGAAATTTTATGCCTTAATAATAAATTTTAATTAAAGTTTCATATTGGTTTATAAAATTGGGTGTTTTTCCTGAGGAGGAAATGCGTATTTTGATTGTATAGCTATTTCTGGTGTGTATATACACACACACACACACACACACACACACACACACCAGGGATTATGTATGTAATGTGTGTGGTAATTCACGACTGTGGGAGGGAATCCAGGCCCATGTGTGCGATATTACTCCACGCCTTTCTGTCTGCAGACAGGGTCTCACTGACCCTGAAGGTCACTGCTCTGTTCTGGCTAGTCTGGCTGACTGGATCTGCCTTCTCCACTTGTCTCCACCCCACAGTACTGGGTTTACAGGCGTGTACAGCCGTGCCTAGCTATTTCTTTTTAAACGTGGGTGCTGGGGAATTCAAGCTCATGTCCTCTTACTTTGCCAGCAAGCACTCTTACCCTGAGCTATCTCTGCAGCCTCTGATTGCAGTTTTTTTTTTTTTTTTCAAAACAGAGTTTTTCTTTGTATCAACCATGACTGTTCTAGAACTAGCTTTGTAGACCACGCTGTCCTCGAACTCAAGAGATATACCTGCTTCTTCCTCCTGAATGCTGGGACTAAAGGCATGTGCCTTCATACCCAACTCTTCTTTATTTCCTTAAGGAAGGTAGTTCCCCCCTCCCCTTAGTTTTTGCACAGCCAACATCCTTAGCAGGTCTTTGGATTTGTTTTTCAGGTACAACTAATGAGAAAGAAACAACAAGAGAGGAAAGGGGAGAACTCCACTGCCACCATGCAGAGAAGTATTATGTAAGGCCCCTGCCATGCTCCAGGCACTTTGTGTTGTGACTTTTCCTGGGAAAATGAGAACTGATATTCATTCATTCCAGATAGGGGACCAATGACAAGCCAAAGAAATGATTCCACCCAAGTTTAGCATAATGAACCACTAAGTTTATTGGTGTCACTTATAGGAAAGTTGGTGACATAAAGGCAGCCGCTCACTCCAAAGCCCACCCTAGCATGGAAAACTGCATCGCTGGAGCTCTCTGCTCAGTCTGCAGGCTGCTCCACTGAAGAATCCCTCTCAACCCCCAGTAATTGTTGGCTGTTTATATAAAGCTTGGGAAAGGGCATGTGAGTCTTGTAACTGTCTGAGCCTCCTCAGTGTCTTGATCGTCCTGATTCTTGAGCTTCCTCCCCCCTGCAAGAGATAGTGTCTACATAATGCACTGTTCAAACTCTGGGCTTTCTGTGTCAAATTTGCATTTTTTGAGAAGACCTTGAGTGAGCCTTCAAGTCGAAATTTCCTAGTGTTGAGTGGTTTGGGAAATGAGAAGTAGGACATGGGAGAAAGTAATGAATCAATTAGCTCGTTAATTAATTTTTAGTTGCAGGGTATGGGTCCTTAATGTGTTGGTTTTCAGCAGTTATGCTCCCTGGGAACATGTGGCAATGTCTGGAGACATTTTTGGTTCAGGCATTTCAGGGGTCTGGGATTTGCTTTTGATATCTAGTGGACAAAACTTAGGCATGCACTAAACCTCCGTCAGTGCACAGGACAGCCTCAGTGCCAGTTTAGAAATCCTGTACTAAGGCAAGGTGGCTTTAGGAACATGAGAGAGGAAAGTACTTGGTTTCCATAGTTGCAGTGTGCAACTCCAGGCTTGGCTAGATAGATCCAACAAGTAAAATGTTGTCATGGTCTGTCTCTCTGTGGTCAGCTCTGTTATCACTGATGTTGACATCCTCAGGCTGACTCTCCCAAGATCAGCAATCTCAGGTGTTAACATGAGGGCTTGCTTGTTGGGGTTTCTGTCCTGCCCAGTTCCCACAGCTGGTAAACCCCAAAGAAATCACACAGAGGACTATATTAATGATAAACCGATTGGCCCATTAACTCAGGCTTCTTATCAACTCTTATAACTTATATTAACCCATTATTCTTATCTGTGTTAGCCATGTGACTTGGTACCTTTTTCGGGGCAGGTCACATCCTGCTTCTTTGGTGTCTGCACAGGACTGAGGGAAAGAACTTCCTTCTTCCCAGAATACTCTCTCTCTCTCTCTTTTTTTTTTTAAATTTATTTATTATGTATACAGTATTCTCAGTATTCTGTCTGCATGTATATCTGCAGTCCAGAAGAGGGCACCAGATCTCATTACAGATAGATGGTTGTGAGCCACCATGTCGTTGCTGGGAATTGAACTCAGGACCTTTGGATGAGCAGGCAGTGCTCTTAACAACTGAGCCATCTCTCCAGTCCCCCCCAGAATACTCTTGTTCTCCTTGCCCCACCTCTATTTCCTGTCTGGTTGTCCTGCCTATACTACTGGCCAATCAATGTTTATTTAAAACATTGACAGATACAGAATTGTTCCACACCACTCAGGTACGAGAGTACCTCCTTTCTGATCCAGCAATATCACAGTCAAATTTTGGCTTGGGAAAATCGTGGTGGGCTATAGGTGTGCAGTGCGCTGCACTAATTGGTGAGGCCCGAGTCATGTGTCCATGTGTCATAGGTGGACGTGTAGGCCACTCATGGCCTGAACTAAGGGAAGACCAGAGAGGGGGGATGCGTTAGAGAAAAGGAGGGAAGGATACTAGCAGACTCAGTCCTGGACTTCCACTGTGGAAACCGGGGGACACAAATCCCCGCTCACTCTTGGGATGGGAAAGCTGGATATGGTCTATCCTGGGATGACAGCTTTTTATTCAGATGCTTTCTGTTCTCTTGTTTTCTTACCCTTTACTACTACTACTACCGCTGCTACCGCTGCTGCCGCTGCTGCCGCTGCTGCCGCTGCTGCCGCTGCTGCCGCTGCTGCCGCTGCTGCCGCT